CCCCCCCCCCCCTTCCCCCCCAAAAAACAACAAAAAGCAAAACTAACAAAAACAAAAAAACCCAAGAAGCCCAAACAAAAAGGTTTCAATTTTACTTCTAATCTCCTGCAAGCTGCACCCAGTGCAGTGGGTTTACTCCCCTCAGAGATAGAGTTATTACACTTATAAAACTATCAGATGAGGAATTTTTTAAGTCTCAGCACAGAAAAAAGTACAGCTGCAGACTACTTTCTGACAAGGCTCCACCCTTATCCAAGAGCTACACTGGCAGACCCTACTTCTTTACCATCCCTCTTTTGCTCTTGTCCATCTGTCTAACCCTTTTCCAAAGCAAAATGGGAGTAACTGAGTTAAAGTGCACGTCCTTATTCAAGCAAACCTAATACCAGAAATATACATAAAGTAGATTCCAACAGCTTAGAATGAGAATTCAGCACAAAATGAAAACAGAAGTAACTATGGCCATAGAGGACAAAAGGTCTAGTCAGTATGTTTGTGTTTTAGAGCCTATAAAATGACAGCTGACCCATTATGCTTTTCAAACTGAGATTGTTTCAGAATGTTATCAGGTCTGACGAGGTAATGATATATAGATTGCAAAGCGCATAGAGCTTGCTGTTGAGTGGGAATTTATGTTATTTAAGGTTATTTATTATTATCATAATTATCAGCTAGAACACTTACTGGCATTTGAAGCAGAAGTACTTCCCAAGCCCCTTAGCCTTTTCCATGGCATTGCAGTCCTTGCACAGAGCTCTGAAAGTTTAGATAATACAAACACATAATTATGCTCGAGGCATGATGATCCACACTGCGCTTTCAATATCTCACCAGACAATATAGAAGAGCAGAGGTGAAACAGCAACAACAAAAGTGGTTCTGTTCTGGAGGTGTCATCTCCGACTCAGAGGATGAAGTGCAGCGAGTCCCTCCATCCTATGGTCGTGAGCTGCCATTGCACATTCCGCCATATCCACGATTACAAGGCAGTAAGTCAAATGATGTTTATATTATTTATAAAAACAAACATGTTTTAAAATAAATAAATGGGAGAACAGACTGTCATACAAAAACAACCCAAAACCTGCAAGAACATACCTCTAAAGTCACAGCTTTGGACAAGTATTATCCAGGCTTGCCCACTTTTGAAATATTGAATTCTGGAATTTTGATTGCGCCGGAGCGCCGCAGACACAAACTTTTGTGAGGCTACTAAAGTTACTAAAAAAAACACCCACACCAAAAAAACAGCTCAAACAAACCAGTGGAGAAAAAGAGAGATGCTGTTTTCGGAAGGGTTCGGGAATGATGATGGTAATTCCCGAATTTCCCTAAATATTCAGGACGGTTGGCAAGCCTGATTACCCATTTTATTTAAGTAAGACTCAAAATAACAAGAGAAACTGTAAACATTGTATACATAACATCTAATCCTTCACATTGACCTGATCTAAAACTGTTTGCTAGTAGGAGCCGAAAGTAAAAAACTGAAAAAAAGTACTTATTCAAAAATTGTCCCAAAAAGCAGAATTCCAGGCGAATAATGCGATAACATTTGTTATCATTGTAGTTCAATTCATCATTATTTAGTAATTCAGAGAGTTGGATTGCAAAATACCAAAAAGTTAAAAAATTTCAAACTAGGTCTAATTATTTAACATCAAACAGGACAGGATTAAGATCTTAACATTTTGGCAGTCAAGCAAGATACAGACTGTAACATACAAACAAAAGAAGGAGGATGTTTGATAGGAAAGAAGGAACAAACCACACCTGAGCACCCGCAACCACCCACTATGACCAACATTTGTTTTTACAATCTCCCTACCACTTGCTCTCTCATACCCCTCAACCACCCAGTCATGTGGATAACATTGTGAACCCTCCTAGGTAGGCAAAGATATAAAACAGGGGAAAAACATGCCTAGAACCCCGACTGACCTTCCTTGGTTCTTGATGAATCCCTCATCGGCCAGAATTTTAGAGCAGCTAAAGCAGCGGAAACACTCGGGATGCCACGAGGCGTTCATGGCCTTGATGACCCGACCACTGATGAACTCGCCTGCAGAAATATCATCAGATTGTAACAATAATATAGTCATATTGTACCAACAAATATTGTCACACTGTAACAGCAATATTGTGACAGAACATTGTTATAACAAAATATCTTCACTTCACAGAGTATTGTAACGACATTATTGGAACAGAACATAGTTATAACAATGTGTGAGGCAGCATGGTGAAATCAGTCGCTCGTCAAAATAATGAAAGTCAAGAAATCAGCAGGTTTGGGAATATTAATCGAATTTTTGTTTTTTGGTTCAACACTTTTCATGCCCATTAAAAAGCACAATTCTGTGTGGATTTTACTGAAAAACGTTGATTAAAGGTGGAAGAAAAAAGTACAATTTCTGTTTCTACAGATTCTCTAGCTAAATAAATAACTCAACTTTGGCGGCCATTTTCTCTCTAATTTTACCTCTGAAACCAGATGACCCTCACCTCCTTCAAACACACATATCTCGACTTCTATTCAACATAGATGGATATTATTTTTACTCAAAACAAGGAAAACAGAAAGGCCTTAAGATGATACTATCAAACTGCAAATAGAAACTAGACAACTAGACACCCAACTGAGATGGAATATGGTTTGTTTGTTTGTGTAAAGAGAAGCGCATTGACACAATAATGGTCATTTAGTGCTGGGAAAAAAAAAAGTAAGGCAGACAGAAACAACAGATGGAAAGTAAAGAAGTAGGACCTACCAGTGGTGCCTCCAACCACCCACACGAAATACATCATGAACATTCACAACACACAATAATTAATAAAACTTATACTTTTTACACAAACATACACACACACACACAGAGAAGCAGATTTCACTGAGGGAATAGTAATCCAGGACTTACCGCACTTGGCACAGCTGGGAGCAAAAAGGACGCAGAAGTCATGTTCACAATACTTCCGGCCCTCAAACTATGGAGAAAGTATCAAAATACATCTCGATACTGAGTACCCAGAAACATTCTCACATGAAAAATGAGGAAAACAGAAAAATTTCTCTCCTACACCACTTTGCAAAAATATTGGGTTTGTTAACTCATTCGCTACGCCGAGCCGTGGGGGGCGGCGCGGCTAAAGTGCCGTCAGTACGCTAAGCCGCCCCCGGCGGCTCAAGAACCGACGTTCAATTTTAGCTTGATTTCTATTCCAATCCACATATCCATGTTAAAATAAAGGTCATAATATAAAGTTGACTTCCGGGTCAAGCGTTTCCACCGAAA